TCTTGGCACTTACTGTCCAGCTCAGGGGAGGTCACCTAGGAGTTTCTGCGTTGAGCTTTAAGAATAAAATACATAAAATCATAGATTTATAAATGGAAGGAACCTCAAAGGTTAATTTAGTTCAGTCCCCTCATTTTACACATAAGGAAACTGACATTCTAGGAGGTCAATTGACCTGCTCAAGATTATCTAGGTGAGGGTTAGAGGGTGATTTGAGTTGGTTTGGGCTCTTACTCCAGTTTTCTCTCCATCATACCTTGTTGCTTCCTATATCAGCAAGTACAACAGATATGTTTAAATAGACAGATTTTTAAAAGGAAATATGAATTAAAAAAAGCAATAGTGTTTCAGTTTGACTTCAAATAGGGTTGCTGTTGTGGCAGTGTCCCAGTTTTTAATACCCAGCAGGTAGGAGAGAAAGAATAATGATCCCTTGAAGCCTGGACTGCTATTTTCTCATTAAATGCACTTGTTTCTCCTTTCCCCCTTGTCAGCCTTGTTTAATCCGTGCAGCTTTACTCTCTCCTTTCACATAAACATTCTCTTAGCACTTGTGTCTATCCAGGGGGTCAGTTCATATAAATATGTAGTTTGCATTTGTGTAGCTGTCTTCTTGCCATCTATTCATTTCTTTCTTTTTTTTTTTTTTTGCCTGGCCTATCTTGCCTGCTAGATTCTAGGTGTCTTGAGGGTAGGGGGTCATGTCTTAAAATTCTTTGGCGTCTCTCCAGCTCTCTTTTACAAAGTGCAGACAGTAAGTGCTCAATGCATGTTGCTGAATTTGATTAACTAGAAAGTTTCTTGTTCCAAAACCATGGAACAAAATTTGTCTGTACTGTATAGGAGTCATATTTGTGTCCTTTAACTCTTTAATATTATGCTTTAACCCTCCTTTGAGTCAACAGCTAAGGTCATGGAAAACCCTGACCATGGATCCTGCATTGTCTCAATGCACAGCGTCTCTATGGATAGAATAACTCAGGTACACATGACCTCTTGATTACAGGGAATTTAAGGTAGACTTTTAGAAGTGGAAGGGACCTTAAAGGTCACGTAGTCTGAACTTTTTGTTTTACGTATGAGAAAATTGAATCTCTGAGAGGTGAACTTTGCCTTTGGTCATGCAGTTAGCAAATGGCAAGAGCCACAACCAGAATTCTGGTCTTTTGGTTCTTAGTTTAGTGTTCTGTTCTGCTAGCCTTGCTGCCTTTCCTAGAAGTTGTCAAGCAGGATCCTGTTCAGAATATCACACTGCTGGAAATTCTTCCAATGAGAGACTGATTTGGGTTAGAAAGTGACGACTTGGAAAATCCAAATGTCCCAATTCATGCTTCATTCAGAGCTAGTTTAACTAAGGTTGACTTGCTACTAACAGCTCCTTGAGCTCATTCTGTTGACATTTTGATAGGGAGAGGGAAGGATAGATAATAGAACCACTGGAAAAGGAAGGCTGCCAGCCAAAGGGCAGTATGAGAGAACTAAGCACCTAGAGAGAAGGTATGTATGTGTGTGTGTTGGGGAGGGGGAAATGGGGTGTAGGGGTGGTGGTAAAGCGATGAAGAAAAGTAGATGGGAGAAAGAGATGTTTTGTGATCTTGCATGGATGAACACAAGGTACTGTCAGCTTTAGGTCTTGTTTGACTGAGAAAACTTGCTGCCTTTTAGTTCGCTGACTGGTCTATACTTTTCCCTCACTGAGTATTTGTAAGATGGCTGACTCATCTTAGCAAGCTTTTAAAAATGTTTTCTAAAGCCATGAATAGAGTTAAAAATAAATCTTTGTTCTTGAGAAGCTATTAAAAATTAAACATGCCCATGCAGCACACAGTGTGAAAACGGGCTCTTGATAGAAACTTTGCTGTTTGCTTTCAATAATTATCCTTCCTTTTAGGGCAGCAGGTTGAGGTTTCTGGGAACTCTTAATTTTTGTTTTGTGTGCTCCCACAAAAGAACACAAACCATCATTTGCTACTAGGGAATGAAGCCAATCAGCTTTTAATTTCTTTGGAGTCTTTTTTGGAAAGTCAGTAGTAAAGACAGGTTGACCGGACGCTGTGTACAATGTTCTGTTGGCATGTCACAGTATCTCTAGTATACAGAGTGGTGACACTGCCATTCCTGGGGATAGGAGACACCATGAAAGGCACCCATTCACTTAGATTCACACATCGGGGTTTCTTTTGAGGATGGCTGTGCAAATTACTTTTTGAGGTTAATAGAGGTTACTGTTAAGTAGCCACCTAGGATTCACAGAATATGCTAAAGCAAAAGCTTAAAAGGAAAAATGTCTTGACTGAAAGATTTCCTTTCTCTTTTGATGATTTTGAGGCCTTAGATTGTAGAGACTATAGGTTTATATAATAATAGAGCTTTAGAGTACTAAACAACCTTAGCAATCATGCCATCCATTCCCTTCATATTCTAGATGAGAAAACCCAGGCCCAGAAGAGTGAATTGACTAACTTAGTCTCCTAATCTGTTATTGGCAGAAGCAGGATTAGATTTAAGGTTTCCTGACTCCTGGCCAAGTGTCATTTGTACTACCCTAATGATAGGTGCGACACTAAGCAACATTTTGGAAATGTGGATTCCATCTCTTCTTTGGGTTGAAAAGAATCTAGTACTGGTGTTAGGGTCCTGTGCACAGGGAGGCATGTATTCAAGAAATACATTTTTGACAGGTGAGGTAAAACATAGCATGAACAATGGATTAGGTGGGTTGGGTGATGAGTAGACAGAAGAACATATCAGAACTTATCCCTAGGCTTAGTGGGAAAAAAAAACATTTTGACTTGGAAATTTTCCACACTCATTACAACTTTTATGGATATATTTTTAAAGGGCTCTTAAGTAGGGGCGGGTAGAACACAATCAAACTAAGCTGAGACTAATGGGTAAAGCCAGTACTCTTGGGGAGTACCCCAAGGCCACATGAAGCTTCTTGAAATCATCTGTACTGGGTGCTGAACTGGCTCCAATGAGCCGCTGTAATAGTTCAGCAAATGAGGTTTCTTCTGAACCTCAATGGATCAATAGACTTTTAAGACTTGAAAGGGACCCAGTGCTGGTCTAAGTCCTCAAGTAGAGCAGCTTGAAATGCATTCGTGTACCTGCTTAATTAGCTGCTTTTGGATGCTTTCCAATGGAAGCTGTTCTTTGACCTTCATTATTGGGCTAGCCATAACCTCCCTTCCAGTCCATCTTTAGTGTGGTTGTAGGAGCCCTCATGGTGGTTTGTGGACTGTTCACCTGAGTGTCTAGTGTGGATTTACTAAATTTACTAGAACTGAATTTGTTGTTGATTTTTCATCTCTGTGCTGTAATTATGGGGGTTTTGTTTCTCCCTCAATCCTGAGTCAGTGGTGGGGAAAGAGGGAGGGTGCCACAGTCAGAGAAGTGTTGCTCTAGAACACAGCAACTGGAGAGCCTGGATCAGGCAAATATTTTGCAGGTGATTAACCCCGGATTAGGAGAAATGAGCAGCTTTCCAGCTGGTTAGCATTACCTCCAAGCACCGTGATGCACCACTTAGTCAAACATCCATTAAGATGTCACTGACTACCAGTGAAAGGAACTGGTAATGAGAAAGGTGGGAAAAGAAAAATGATAGAAGTGCAGGGAGGGCTTGAGAGACACCTTGAAAAATTGCAAGTAAAATGTCATTTCATAAAAGTAGAGGTTCATGAGTTTGTAGAACTTCCAGACTGTTACTCATACCAGTATCATGTCCATCTGTGGAAACCATGGTACACTGATGTGATCAATTCCTCAAGTATTTCCTGATCCCTTAGGCCTTAGCACACCAAAGAAAAATTCAAAACCACTTTTCCTTCTGCTTGAAATATATCCAAAAAATATGCTGTGCATATTTCACAAGTGTTCTATTCACATGTTTAACATGATCAGGTGATAGGGAAGGAATTTAAACAAAACAAAACCAAAAAAAACAACAGGCCAGCCTTGAGAAGAGGATATCTACTTGGATGTTTCTTCTTTTGGATTTCCTGCTGCTCCTGCAAGCCAGGGTATGGCTGTGAATCGAGGCATTTCTCTTTAGTAGGCTGTGTGGCTGAAACCGCTGCTAGGATTTGGTATATCACTTCATGACATGTTTGGCCCTGATGGCCATGTTTCTATGCTTTGGAAATGCATCACTGTGGCTGCAGTTTTGCCCATCATTTTTGGTCTTCATTCAACTATCATAAGACTTTTGTTATTTGTATTTATATTGTAAGTAGACAGTCTGGGTTTTAAAGTCCAGTGGGGAACCTCAGAGTTTTCATCTTTTAGGAAGATATTCTTAAGGCGAGAGGTACAGTAAAGGGACATTTCAGTCTCTGGCCCTCTTGCTGGTGTCTTTTCGTACTCAAGGTCTTCTGAACGTGTGTATTCCATTTAGGTGAAAATGCACAGCTTGCAAGTATCCTCCTTGGGCCTGTCCCTATCCCTTTACTGTCCTCAGAAGAACCAACACAGCTGAGGATGTTGCAGCCAAGTTTCAATTGTCATGTTTTTCTTTTCCAAATGAAGGATGGCCTTCATTGTACTAAATTACAACAAATAAATAATTTGCTCCCCCCTCCCCCCACATTCAAATGGTTTATGTCCACATCGACAAGGTAAGTAAATGACACCTGGGATGCCAAACTATGGAGCACGCAGGCAGCAAGTTGTATGACTTGATGCCGAAGCAGAGCACGCTACTGACAAGAAGCATGAAGAGGAGCACATCGACCATGCATGCGTGGGGCCTTGCATTTGACCCTTGTTTTTTTAAATGACATGTCATTCTTTTGAAAGAGTAGGAGGAACCCATGCTCGCATCCTTTCTGGTGCATTTTGAGAATTCAGTCTGTGTGTGTGTGTGTGGCACTTGAGAGCAGGTTGGCACAAAATGAAAGGCAATGTTTTGGTCTCTGCTTGGTGGTGAAGCTGTGTGTCGAACTCTGTCCTCCATGGGCTCCAGAATCCCAGGGTAGAGAAGCGAGTGCAGAACAGGCTCAGGGACCAGGCTGGGTCATGCTACTCGGATTTCTAAGAACGGTGTCCCCGTAACTGCCAGCTGCTGGGGTGGCCTCCAATGGTAAGCCTTGCTGCTGATATCCATAGTGGACGTTCCCACAAGGGAAGTGGCGGAGCCTAAACAGAGGCACTTCTGTCACGGCAGCAGTCAGGGAAGACGGTTCCAAGAGCAGGGAGGACCCTGGCAGCCTGCCGGGGACAACACTGGGTGGCCCTGTGGTGGATTGTCCTTCTGGCCCCAATTTACCCCTCTCGGGCTGCTCCTTCTCTGTCAGGGGATTGTTTTTGGTTGCAGATTTCTCTGTAAACCAGGAGCCATATGTGGGGTTCCAAAGACTGGTTGGTTTGTTTCTTGATCCACGCCCTTTGTGCAGCTCTGTTGGTGGATTAGACTGAGAATATGCCATGTTGACATGTCCTCCTTCTACGGGTGTCCCTCTGGTGACACGGACTGGAGGCTCCAGAGCCATTGCTTTCTTCAAGGGCTTACCAGAGGAAGTGGTGGGCAGTGGAGGGGGAACAGATGGTGGACACACATCCTCTTTTTTCTCTTGCTGTGGACAGACTAAGAGAGGAGGTATTCTGTCAGGATCTTCTGGCCTCATGGGCACCTTCTCTTCCTCTTCAGTCATGGGACCATATTCTATTGGCAGAGCAGTATTAACCACATCTGGATCCTGGGGATAAGAGAAATGAATTTATAAGGCATTCTCACCTTGGATTGCTGTGGTACCCTCTCAGGCTATCTAAGTGACAAGTAGTCTTCTCCTTCTTTTTCCTTCTTCCAGTACTCTCTTCTCCCTTTCCTGTTTAAATTACGTATAGAACTTAAAAGACTTTAAACTTTGGTATTTGTCACAGTACCTTTACCTCCATGTGTAAGATTTCATAAATAATAATAATGACTATCACCTCCCTCCAATTCTTTGGGTCTTGTATGCTTGTTGTTATTTTTCAAAATGGCCCATTTACAACTACCCCATGCAAAAAAAGTATTATGGGATTTAAAATTACAGATTTATAAACATTTTAAATACAATCAATATAATATCTGGTAAATGTATATATGTGTATATGTGTGTGTGTATGTGTGTGTATATATACACACACACACATCTCAAAATGACATTTTATAAACAGCCCCAAGTAGCTTGTCTTTAGATAAATGTTAGTTGTAGTAGTAGTGGTTGATGTGCAACCTCAGAACTGTTTGGTCAGAAAGTAAGTGCATTGTATCCTATCTTTTGGGAAATTTAGAGAGGCATTGTTTTCATCAGTTGTCTGGTGTTGCGGTGAGACCAGGGAGAAATGAGGCACTTATATCTAGAACAGGAGTTGTTAACTAGGGGCCCTATGCACACACACACACCCCTAGATATTTTAGTTCTTTCTTAGACCTTAAGTTTAAGCTTTTAAGTAATTCATATGGAATTCCTATTAAGACTTTTTTTTTACAGATATGCACACCTTTTGTTGTTGTTGTTGTTGTTGTTGTTTTTGCTAGGCATTGGGGTTAAATGACTTGCCCAAGGTCAGTTAGTAATTGTCAAGTGTCCGAGGCCGAATTTGAACTCGGGTCCTCCTGACTCCAGGGCTGGTGCTCTATTCACTACGCCACCTAGCTGCCCCAATATGCACACTTTTAATGTGAAAAGTCAATCAGCCTAGAGAAGCATCTCATTTAATTGCATTTTACACTGCGGCTAATAGTTGGGGGAAGGGGCATGGCAGCAATGGGAAACACGCACCAGTGTCCACAGTAATTCACAGAGGGAGCTATGCTACGTCATCTAGAGAGGCAAGGGAGCTGTTTGCTGACACTTACAGAAGGTGTGCTATATTTGTTTTCCTAATGGAGATTAAAGTGAAATAATATGATGTCAAATGCAGGCTCCTCTCTCCTTTTTAGACTAGAAGAAAAGGTAAGCATGTCTGAGAAGTAACCCCTTACATACCACTTTATTAGAGAGACTGAACATTCTTACAAAAGATGAAAGAAGTATCCTGGGAAGGAAATCAGAAAAACATTTTCAAGGAGGTGGAAGGAAATCAATCACAGAGGGAGACAAATGAGGAAAAGAAAGTGACACAATCAAGAGACCAAACACATTTTGTACCATTGGACCTATTTGAGAGCTCCAAGGCTTTTGTCGTGGAATATGCTCCTATCTAGACATTCTCGAATTAACATTCTGTGCTCCATACTTCTATTGAGAAGAATCCGGTTAGCCCTGCCAAGTGTAATAGGTATGTTGTGGTGGTTGGTGATGGCCCCCTCCTGAGAAGGACCGTAACGATGGGCGACATTTAGAGGATGTCGCTGTGCTGATAGAACAAAGCATAGGGGGTCTGGAGAAGGGAGGGTTTGTCATCTTTTTGGCAAAAATATTCAGGATGACAGCTCATTTATATAGTGCTCTGCAGTTTATATACTTATGATAGTTTGCCAAGGCTCAAGGCCATCTGCTTATTGATATTTAATAGATCAATATATTCTTAGTCATAATGATGATAGGAGAAATACTAGACATCTTTAGAGCTGTTAGAGTTATAACTGCCAATTATTAGCTGTGTAAACTTAACCTCTCTGGACCTCAGTTTCTTTGTCTATACAATGAGGGGATTGGACTAGATAATTTCTAAGGTCTCTTCCAGATTTAAAATTCTATGGCATGTGGCATTATCTCATATTTCAGGGGACATTCAGTGACACTCAATAGCAACTATTAAATGGCCACTATGATAAATACTAGTGTTGCAAAAGTGAAAAAATGACAGCCCCTGCCCTTGAGGAACTTACAGTTTAGTTGGAAGCCTCTATTGAGAAAGTCAAAGTATGTTAACAGGTGGTTTTCAAAGGAAAAAAACCCAGTTTATCAGTAGCCGTATTGAAAAATGTTCCAACTCACTAATAATTAGAGAAATGCAAATTAAAGCATCTTGGAGGGACTGTGGGAAAACAGGTACATAGATGCACTTTTAGTAGAGCTATGAACTTGTCCAACCATTTTGGAAAGCAATTTGGAACTATGCCTTACAGTCATTAAACTATGCATACTCTTTGACCCAGCAATGCCAGTTCAGAGCCTTTACCCAGAAAAGATCAAGTAAAGAGAAAAAGAACTCATATTTATAAAAAATATAGGTGTTCTCTTCATAGAGGCAAAGAACTAGAAAGGTGGGGTGCCTATTAGTTGGGGAATGTGAATAAATTATGGTAATAATAATAGCATTTACATAGCACTTTACAAATATCTCATTTTATCCTCATAACAACCCTGGGAGGTAATTATTACCATTTTACAGGTAAAACCGAGGCAAACAGGTTAAGTGACTTGCCCAGATTCACACAGGTAGCAGATGTCTGAGGCTGGGCATCTGGCACACTGTCACGCATTAGGACCAATTACCTGCCTGAATAAATGGAATACTTATAAGAAATAATGAAAGGGATAGTTTCAGTGAAAGATGGGTTTGAACTAACCCGAAGTGAAGTAAGCAGAACGAGGAGAACAATTTCTCTCCTAACACTGTGAGAAGAAACAACTCTGACAGACGAGAACTCTGATCAGTACATTACTCAGTCATGATTCCGGAGGACTGACAAGGAAGCGCGCTCCCCACTGCCCGACGACAGAGAGAGGCGATGGACTCAGAATGTAGAATGAGGACTGTGGTTTTGGGATGGGACAATGGGGGAATTTTGTTATCCTCGACTATGCATATTTTTTTCCAATGTTGGAGGGATTTGGGAGGAAGAGAAAACAGAGTTTTGTTAATTGAAAAATAAATAACCAAAATCCATTTAGTAGGGAGATGAGAAATGTATCAAAGAAGAAATATTTTTCACTAAGTTTGGAAAAAGAATTAGGGCCCACTTGTTGGGGGCAGCTGGAGTGATATTAGAAGAAAACAAAGAATCAGAACTTTTTACTTTCTATGTCATCTTGATGCTGGAAAGAGTAAGGTCTTCTACCCTAAGGAAAGAGTGGGAGCCCAAAGTAGGTGGGGGAATGGTAAGAGGGCATCATCATACTCTTTCCAGTGAGGTTGTCTTTATATTTTCATATGAATTAGAGCTAGAAAGGATTTTAACTTGCCCTCTCACCTTACATGTGATTCCTCATATTAATGGCCAGAGAGACTGTGACTTGTTCAGGGGCACACAGGTAGTAGTATGCATATCTAGAATCTTTTCAAGGTGATGAAGGAACATACAGATATGATCTTAGAATATCATACGGAATTTCTAAAAAACATGGAGGATAGGAACTAGGATATGATACAGATAAACCTGATGCTTTTTTTTAAAAGGGGAAAGGGATTTATCTTGTAAATCATAGACTGGTAGGCCTAATGTCCATCCTGGGAAAAATTCTGAAATTAATTTTGAAACCTCATTGTGGGCATTTAGAAACCTATAATGATCACTGGGACCAACATGAGTTCATTAAGAGCTTCGTTTTCTGTTAGGTTTACTAGATCAGTAGATCAGAGTAATATTTGGCAATTGTATATCTTGATGCCCACAACATAATGAACAGTGTCCTGTGTCATGCTTATGGATAAGATACTGAGATATGGATTAGGTAACAATGCTATTAGATAAGTTGGCAGCTAAGTAGGAGAATCATACCCAAAGTAATTGATTAATAGTGTTAACCCATAGGGCTGGCTCTAGTGAAGTACAAGTCTCTCTGGTTTTGGCCTGCTTTATTCAACATCTGTACCAATAACTGACCAAAACACAGAAAACAGACTTTTGATTCCAAATTAAAGTGGATGAGACTGGGAGGAATACCTAATATACCACAGATGACCTAAGTCAAGATTTGAAATTGCCTTGAACAGGGCTAGAATACTGGAACAAGACCAAGAACAATAAATTTCTCAGGGATAATGGAAAGTCCTGCATTTAGGTTAAAAAAGATCAATTGCCCATATACAGGCTAGAGGACCCCTGGTTTGATGGCAGTTCATGTGGCAAAGACTCAGGGATGTTATAGCAAAAGGTGAGCCTTAAAGAAGCTAACAATTTTAGACTGTATTAACAGAATACTGCTGGGGTAGGAGATAGCACATGGGGATTGGACCTATGATTTCATTCATATAGGAACCTTCCTCTACCAACATATGTTGGCACCTCCTGTGCACCTGAGAGTTTTAAAGAGCTGCTTGGAGCACTTAAGAGTGACTTGCCAGGGTCATGAAACCAAAGGTCTTCCTGGCTTTGAGGCTGGCTCCCTAGCCACTGCTCCACACTGCCTCTCAAAAACCACTTGCTAGAGAACAGAACCTCAGTCTCTTGCATGACAGGTGAGGACACCACTATACTAACAAAGATGGTGCAGGTAACTGAGAGGTAATAGTCTCTTACACTGTGCTGGGCAGACTGACTCTGGAATGTTTGGCTCACTATTTAAAAAGAGCATTAACAAACTCTAGAGAATGTCCAGAGGATGGTGATCACAATGATGAAGAGTCTAGAAACTCCAAGAGGAATAGTTAAAGGAAGGAGGGATGTTTAACCTACAAGACGCCTGAGGGATTAGATGTGACCTGCACCTTGGTCTCTCTCTTGCTAGATCTGACACTCTCTGAAGGCAGGAATTATTTTCTGTACTTTTGTTTGTCATGGAGTCCAGCATAGCACTCTGTAAATCCAATATTATTTGGGATACTCATCCATGCCCTTAGAATGATTGAATAGAGTCTTAGGTAATCATTTAGCAGATACTCAGGTACGTAGCAGATATGCAGCCTCAGCTGTAGGTGGTGGATTACCACATCACAGATTCACCCTTTTGCCAAATAGTCCTCTCCTCCACCTCTAGGATTGACCGGGAGACACTAGCACACCATAATTGTCTGCCCTACTTTCCCCTTCTTCAAGGATGTGTTTCCAACAAGACTGCAAACTGACAGCTCACAGAAATGTCCATGTGAGGAAAGACTTCCAGGTCTATTCACAGAGATGTAAGTGGGCCATTGTGTCATTTCCCCTCTCCTTATGAACCAGTTCCTTCCAAAGATGGCAGGGTCAAGGCTAGTGTTACATATGTGGGCTATAGACACCACCCTTCTTAAATGACCCAGTTAAGTGCCATCCCCAGATACTGGCATGGGGGCACAACTATTCTGCAGTTTACCTGCTCTTCGTCATCCTTCTGGATTTCCCTAGTTACCACGCTAACCAACTGTTGTTGGTTGAATCGGTGCAGAAAGAGACAGATGCTATTATTTGTTTACATTGGGGTAATGCTTTCTCCATTCCACAATTTCCTTTGTATACTCTGCTTCAGAGATCATTAACATTAACTTCTGGTTATTGTAAACCAGCTGAAATCATCTTATTCCTTAACAGGTGCAACCTAAAATTTAAGTTTCCTAATTCTCGATTTTGTCCTCAAAATCTTATTCACATAGAATAAGTTAATGTCAGTCACAGGAAAAGAATAATTGGTACCTGGGTACAATATTCAATCCTCTCTAAGATGGTGGCAAAATTGGGCCGGTCCTCAGGCAGATGCTGCCAGCACTGAGTCATGATCCGGTACCTAAAAGGAAATTGAGAAAATCAGGAGCAGTATATGTGTTTTATCTTTGTACTGACCTAAACAAGGACTGTGATGTTGGAGGGCTACGTTGAACTGGGAAGGCAACTTAGGTAACCTGCAGCTGTCACATGCTGCCCTCTGGTGTTGGGTCAGGGAATAGCGACATGATAAGATAGGTACAGCAGTGCCGAGCCTCTTCACGTCCCCAAACTTAGTTTCCATACAGAAATCCTGTGGCCCCACCCCTGCAGTGGAACCATATGTGAGGGAAGAGACTTGAACCACCTTGTCTGCCTACATTGTCTGCCTATAGAAAAGATACAGAAACAGATCCTAAATTAGCCCGCTAAGGCATGGTCATAGAAATGAGAACAGGAAGGAATTTGAGTTCAACCTCCTCATTTTACAGCTTCCATAAATGAGGGCCATCACCCAGGTTCCTTAACTCTTTGGACTCTTTCCCTTGAGAATATGATGCAGAAGGGACCAAACATTTGATTTCAGATATCAGTGTTCAAGTCATACGTGATGTCCCAGGAGAAACCTAACATTGTAGGCTTGGCGAGTCGATAGACCCACTATTCCTCGTTCTTGTTTCTGTTATATATTCCCAGCCTTTAGTATAGTACCTGGTAAATAGTCATAGTTTAATATAGGCTTTTCTCCCCCATTCATTTATCCATTCTAACAGAGTGTGTATTATTTCAGCCACTGTGATCCTAGGTGCATTAAAAGAGGTCAGCACTTTGACCGTTCGCGGAAAATGAAGAACAGAATGTTTTTTAAACATTCCGTTTTAAATACAGAATTGTTTTTGAATTCTGTTTAAAATTCAAATAGATTTTTTAAAGAAAAATTATACTTAGTAGATGGTATCATACACAGGCCCAGGGCAATTTTTGGGTGGATCCATCCGTCCTCCACTGGTGACAAATTCAAGAACTTCCTGATTACTTTTGCTTGGGTATGGCATGTATCCAAGGGAGAATATTTCCCACAGAAGCACACCGAAGGACCTGAACAGAAATCAGAAAATGCAGTTATTAACCTTTGAACAAGTGGAGTCTGCCTGAGGCTTTATACCTAGTCATGTATTATATATATTCATAAATATGTTAATTATTTATAGAGTCATGATTTCATCAGCATGGGTACTCCCTCTCCTCAAGATAGGTCACAGCCCTTCTACACCATAGCTGATGGTTTTTGAATGTTGCTGTGGCCAAAAAATTAATCACCTCATGGCCAGCCTTCTGGTAATGTCTGAGTGTAGCTAATTTGGTCTTGGTGGCCTTGTAGACCACCAATTTTCTGAGCCCATACTTGGAGCCTATCCAGAATGGGAGAACAGTCAGGATTTGTGCTCCAAAGTGGTATAGCCTCTGAGAACCCAGGGAACGTGATGGGTCATCCAAAGAAAAGGATGCAGTCAGAACATTTGTAACTGCCATACCCTGCTCACAGATGGGCTTTCTCCCAAGGAATCCAAGTGCTTTATGAGTGCTTTATGATCCTTGAAAGGGCAGGAGGAAACAAGGCTGAAGCTGAGACAAAATCACAGGACCCCTCAGTGGCAGAGATGGAACCACTGGACATCTTTCAACTCCCCTGCTGGCCTGGCATTTTTCAGCTATCTCCCAGCAAGTTTTTCTTTCTCCTTCCTTCCCCTTGCTTTCTCTCTCTCACTGAGGGCATAAAGGAAATCAGGATGCCACAGTCCAATGGACTGTGAGCTCCTTGAGGGCCGGTGCTGTCTTTTGCCTTTCTTTGTATCCCTAGTACTTAGCACAGTGCCCAGCACATAGTACGTCCTTAATAAATGTTTCCTGACAGACTAAGCTTCCAGACAAACTCTTCTTCTTCTTTCTGATAATTTTAATTTGTTTCATTCTCCATGTCGGAAGAAAAAGAAGAAGAGGAAATAGAGGTGCCATAGCATTTCTAAATTTGAATGTGGAAATAAGGAGTGTGTGGGTTAGAGGTTACTAAATCATCACCATAATAATAGCTAACCGTGTGAGGTAGGTGCTATTATTACCTCCATTTTTACAGATGAGGAAACTAAGGCAGAGAAAGATTAAATGACTTGCCCATCCTGGGTACACAACTAGGACGTATCTGAGGCCAGACATAAACTCTTGATTCTGTCCATTCAGTTCGCCACCTGACTGCCTCTCAATGTAAGGTTGCCCAGTATGGGATCAATGAAATGCAAATCTTTTCGTGAGAGTAGCTCTGACTGAAGGATCTGGAGTTTTAGTCATAGCAAAAGAGGCTATAGAAAAAAGCAAGTGTTCCTGAAAGGGACTGGAATGTTGGATTTTGGTTATGTGATTCATCCTCTACTTCTGTGAGCTGATGTCTTTGCTCACAGTGGCGTAGGTACCTGGGGTGGAGATGCACCCTTTAGTTGGGAGCTGAATGAGTGAAGTTAGGAGGCTCTGAGTTTAAGGGTTCACACTTTTCAGGCACAGAGAAGAGAGATACGAACTATGGGTTACATAATTCTGGCCATCCAAATGGTGCCACTTACAACATGGGAAAACTGGGATTCTGCTGAATAGTAGGGGGGTTCTGAGAGCCACATACCTCCATAGCTTTGCAAGTTACCATCCTTTTCTCTCTCCACTATGCCATACCCATCAATTCTGTTTGAAATTATCTTGTTTTCCTTCTCCTATCACTCATGTTCAACAGTTAAGTGTGTGTGTGAAATCTCATTTTGGCATAATTTAATTTTCTTGGAACATCAATGTCCCTGGCCCAACATATTTTTGAAAGCTGGATAGAATCTCAGAGGCCATTTCATTTAAAAGACTGGGAAACTAAGACTTAACAAGGTTAAGTAATTTGCCCAAGGTTTTATGGATGGTAAACATCAGAGGCAGGGTGACTACTTGTATCCTAGGTCCTCTCATTCTGATAGCTCAACCAATAGGTCTTAAACAGGCTCAGCTGGTAATGTCCAGCTGAGACATCTGAGATTTCTCATGAGCATGTTTAGCTCAAACATCTGCGCCCTTCTTTGCTAATCCAGATCCTTACGAGCAATTGGTAGCCTGTGGTTCACTCATGCAAGGCAGACAGTGATATTCAAAGGAGGACAGTGAGGAATACTTACCACGTATCCGTTTTGGATGTAAATATCCCCTCCATGAAGGCCTCTGGGGGCATCCACTTGACTGGAAGCATGGCACATCCTCCCTTCCTGTAGTAGCTTGCTCTGTAGGACAGAAGAGGAAAGTGAAGTCACTCTAGCCAGGGCATTGAGCAGAGGCTCTGACTGACAACTTGACAAAGTATTAATTAAGAAATTAAAATTAACGAGGGATTGGGAGGGTTGGTTGAGGGAAGAAAGATCATCAGTTAAAATCATTAGTTGGATCAAGGAGACTCATGAGGAATGGAAATAGGTGAAGAAATCAAAATGAAAAAGAAAATACTGGCTTCAGCAAAGGTTTTGGAATTTGTCTGTTATTTTATTATAAATCTAAAAATTACATCATTAAAGCCTTTTAATAAGAATGGCCTTGATGAGCCATATCAGCAGATTGTGCAAATTAGGATAATTTAGAACAAGGGCTGTCTTATTCGTCTTTTTATCCCCTATGGCATCTAGCTTTGTGCCTTACCATGCAGTAGGTGCTTAATGAGTGTGTTGCTTGGATGAATGAAATTGCCCATAAATATCATTCACGGATCTAAGTTGCTTATGTAGATGCTCAGAATCACCCACGTGCATGCCTTCCACCATTCCTTCCTGTCAAGGTGTGTGGGGGAAGGTGGCCCCAAGCTGACTGATCAATGATTCCCTTAGCAAGGGAAGTAGTGTGGGATGGGCAACAAAATCATTTGGACAATAGATAATTGGTAGATAATTGGCAACCAGCTATAATATAAAAAACTTCTAAATATAAAAGCCTACCCTAATGGTGCCATACTGTACTGATATAATAATGACTGCAACAATAAATAACTAACATTTAAGGTTTGCAAGGTACTTCAAATATATTAACCTTGCAACACTCCTGGGAGATAAGTACTATTGTTATCCCATATTATTGTTATCCCAATTTTATAGATGAGGAAACTAAGGCAAACAGGTTAAGGGACTTGTCCAAGACCAGACTTGAATGAATGAGCTCAGTATTTTACTCTCCTTTTCTCAAATTAACTTACAAATTGTTACACTCCCCAAATAAGTCATCATACCCAGAGATGTATTATTACAATGATATTCATCTTACTTAACCCAATCTTTGCTTTTGTTCTGGCTCAAAGAGCAAAAGCTTTTGATGATGATTATTTTGTCAATAATCCAATGGGGTGGGAAGCATTTTTTATGCACCTTCTATCCTTTGGAGAATCCAAAGATAAAAATGAAACAGCTGTTGTCCTCAAGGGGCTTGCATTATACTGACTGACAAAAAATGAACTGTATACAACAAAGTGATTTGTCAAGCCATTCAGGAAGTCAGTGGTTGTAACACTAGGTTTTGATGCTGGGGCTCTGGCCACTGTTTTCAGTAGCCTACAAATAAAAATTTAAAGAAGCAACAGAGCAAAGTCCATTAACTCTTTTCTTTCTAAGCAAGATGTTCTAAGGAACAGCTAGTTTCCTGCTAGCTTCAAGAAAAAGCTAGAGTGGTAAGATTGTTGGACTTGATTTCAGGGACTCCTGGGTTTGATTTTGCCTCTGAAATGTACTAGCTGTGTGACCATGGGCACATGACTTAGCCCCAGTTTCCTTCTCTGTAAAAGGGGGATAATAACAACTGCAACTGTTTTAGGGTTTGATCCCAGAGCCTCCTGAATCCAGGTCCAACATCCCAATGACTGTCTTACTGAGTCCATCAGCACATCTCATCAAGGGAAACTGGGTGTAGCTTTGGGTGTGCATGTGGTTAATGGAAGGTTAATGGTTGTTACCCACCTGTAGATGTCTCGAGCCATTCCAAAGTCTCCGATTTTGGCCACTCTGCCTGGTCCAGCGCAGGTCAAGAGACAGTTTCTAGCAGCAATATCCCTGGAAGAGAGAGGAATAAGAAATAAGAAATGTGGGAAAAGAGAGTATTTACACAAAGATTAATTTCTCTTCTTCATGTGATGTCCAGAAAACTTGTTCCTCTGTCCTACATTTCCCGGAGTATGCTTCACTATGAGAGACTACATTTGGGGGCTCAACACCTTTTAAAGGAGTTGGGGAAAGAGATTAGCAAAGATGATAAAAGTGTCTGGTGGGATAAAAATGAACTAAAAATAGTGGAACCAAAGGACATTTTGCAGAAGAGCACAGATGCAGTGGTTTTCTAGGAAATTGCCCCCCCAAAAGTCAGGGGTGCTCTTTCAACCTCTTTAGCTTCTATTAAAGAAAATTCTAGATATAGCATCCTGAAGTTATCAAATTTTTAAGCTATATTTACTCCCCACCAGGTAAAGCAATGGTTCCACCCCATGATTTCAATAGAATGGGGCTCTCAGTGTGAGGAAATTCCCTGTTAGGGAGTTCCAGATCTGTTGTCCAACAGCCTTGGAATTGCTTGGGGTCATTGAGACGTTAAGTGACTTGCCCAAGGTGGAATTCGAACCCAGTTTTTCTACTCCAAGGGCAGCTCTCTATTCACATTGCCTTATTTCATTGCATAAAGCAATATTATTCTCTTTGTCTAAAATCATTTCTTTACACTTCAGGTAGTGTCTCTAGGCTGGAGTGCTCCAGGATTGGCTGAATAAGTCTAAAGCTACCCCATCTTAATTCTTTTTGCCTTGATAGACTTCAATCATACCACCTTTCCATCTTTCCTGACTGGAGTCCTCATTTTTTTTTTTGGTCTATCATTATACAGAAATCCCTTCATCCCCTTGGTCCCACAGATCTGTGAAGAAAGGTCAAAGGAGTTGAGTCTATGAAACACTAAGAAGAAAATATTGGGTTGTCAGATTTTCAAATAATTATGATTCTGCGTGAGATAGAGGCAGAAGTACAGACACCTCACATGGTTAATCTGGAATTTTCCTTGATATGATTAAAGAACCTGCTAATATTCATCAACTATACTACCTTCTGCTAATACATGTAAAACTACCAATATATGTAGAAATAAATGATACAACCTGAAGAAATCTAGAACATGTGTTTAATGACTTTAAATTTGTGAGTAAGAAAGTTATGGCCTTTGGAACACAGTGGTGTCATCATCTCTTCTTTCAGTTAAAAACTATGACTTTGGAAGAGAAAAGAGGCCATAGAAAGGGATCGGCTGGACATGTAGATAACCTGTCTGGTTCTGGAAAATGAGGCAACACCCATGTAAAGCCCAACTATCCCTGTCATAAAAGTAGATGTAGAACTGTTTGCCCTTTAGGGGTAGATAAGGAAAAGGAAAAGGGAAAAGCTGGTGAGCTGTTCCGTATGTGTCGAGAAAAATATTCCTGTACTTGCAGGTACATCTACCAAATGCATACAGGGCAGGAGAAAAGATGCATAGCTAGTGCATGTTATCTTTGGCTTCATATGGCCACACCACATGAATTTATTAGTCACATTGGACTGCAGCTGCTAAGTTCTCCTTAATCCTCTGCCCAAGCAACTCCTCCATGGTAAGGCACTGAGCCAACCCAGCTTGTATACCTATGAAATGAGAGACTGGATGATCTCTCAGCCCTCCTCCAACTCTATTCATCTAGGATTCCATAAGGAGTATTGCTACTGTAGTCCTCCTTTTGACCAGCAAGGAGGAACTGGTCAGAGATGTACAAGTGTCATGAGCCTTTGGAGAAAGTGACCATATTAGAGTTTATTATAACAAAGGAAGATAGTGCTGAATTTCTTTAGACATGTGCCCTAGACTTTAGGGAAGCAGATTTCAAAAAGATCAGAGAGCAGATAGGATGACTCTATAGGTTGGAGATTCCAAAAGAGAAGCTAGCTCAAGAAGGATGGGATACTCTAAAAAAAAAAGTATCATTATCCAAGCAGTGAAGATGAAAAAAGAGGCAGCTAAAGAAATGAATATGGCTGCACAGTATGGTCTTTTTTCAGTTCAAATTCTTAAAGATCCTATTTTTAAAAATGGAAGGGTCTGTATGTAAGGATGAACAGAAAATCATAATGCATACTGTATTAATGGTGTCTAGACTAAAGCCTAGAATGAATTGTGACCTGCAGAAGATTTTAAACACGAGTAAAATGTTTTAAAGGCCATATTAAGAGCACAAAGGACCAGGAAGGCTAAACCTATCACCTAGGGAACATAGTAGAATGTTCACAAAGGACAGAGAAAAGTGGAACTCCTCAAATCATATTTTGCTTCCATATTCTCCATTAAGAGAATGTATTTCTTGTTCCATTCGTCTTTGAAGGGGAAAGGATAGCTTCAGCATGGGTTAAGGAGAAATTGAAATGCAAAAGGAGATAGTAACCACTTTGAATGAATTGAAGTCTCTGGGCTCACATGAATCACTTGTCATGATGTGATTATGGAATCGCTGTTAGTAACCTTTGTAGTTACGGGGAATGGAAGAGAGGTATCATGAGATTAGATACGGGAAAAATCTAGATTTTTAAGAAAGGGAAAAAGGTAGATGCCAGCTCCAGAATGATAAGCCTGGCATTAAATTGTGGCCAAATTCTAGAAGAACTTGTTAAAACAACAGATGGTTTGAATTTGGTTTAAATATGCGAAAATTGAATTTCATTCAACAAATGTTTTTAATGCACAGTGTGCAAGGCACTGCTTTTAAATGCTGTGAGTGTAAGGGAGTCCCTGACCTCAAGGACATGACGGTCAAATACAGGGATGATATACACGCATGTATATGTGTGTATGTGTGTGTATACACACATATACATATCTCTCACACATATATATGCATATATATTTATGTATGTATGTATAAACATACATAATCACAGGTAAAATACACTAGGGGCAAAGGAGAGATCCAGACAGTTTCTAGGATAATCTAAGGAGGAGGTAATCACTTTCTGTTGGAGGTGGTGAGAAGAGGAAGCACTTTAACTGAGTCTTGGGGGATGAGAAGGATTTCAATATGAGGAAATGAGGCATAAGGATATTCTCAATCCTGCATTAATGCACAAAAGATGGAGAAGATTGGACACTACTGGGAAATAACTAGTGGTTCAATTTTACTGGTACACAGTGTATGAAGACTCATGTTCAGGAGAAGCTTGGGAAGGTATGATGGAGCCTTTTTTTGTCGGGGGGTGGGGGAAGGCTAGGGATAGTGGTACTTAAATACCAGACTAGAGAGGAAAGTGGTGATAGAGGAAGGGTGGCTAGATAGCAGCCCCTCTGAAAAAAATAATCTGGTGATTTTAGTGGACAAGTTCAATGAATCAACTGTGTTGATGTAGCATTGCACAAAGCTAATGAGTGCAGAACAAGGTGGAGAGGTGATAGTCCCTCTGTATTCTTCTCTAGTTAGGCCAGTTTGGAGTATTGTGTTCAGTTTGGCATGCCACATTTTAGGAAGCACGTTTACAAGTTAGAGAACACTGGGAGGAATGCAATGAGGATGGTCAAAAGACTGGAGGATATATCATTGACAGAAAGAACCGGAGAAGAAAGGATTTAAAGGGTTGGGGGCAGGACCTGTGAGCTTTGTTCAAGTATTTGGAAGGCGTGTTCTGCTTGACTTGGAAGGGTTGAACAAGAGGCAGTGGGTGGAAGTGGTAAAGAGGCTTCCATGAATTTGATAGAAGTAAAAATGCCCCAACAATTAGAGTAGAAGGGGCTGCTTCTGGAAGTAGTGACTATCTCCTCTCTGGAGGCTTTTAAACAATGGCTAGATGGCTACTTGTTAGTGACATCATTAAGGGGATACTCAAGTCAAGTTGGACTAGATGACTTCTGGGCTTTTCTTTGACTCGGGTCCTCCATGTGCTCACTGGCTACTCAAGATCCCTCATCCCCCCAAAGCGGCTCTTCTGCATTTCATCAGAGGGTTAGCGAGCTGGGAAATCATGGACAACATCTAGTATTTTTCAACATGTGAAGCAGAGTATCTCTTGAGAGATGCTGTGTACAAACAGGATGGAGAGATGTAGGATGAATGATAATATAGTGTGAAGTGCATTCCCAGCTGGCTGAACAAAGTGTGGACTAATGGTGACAGGGAGGGAGGCCTCTGGTGTGCTGCAGGGTCCTTGTTTTCTTTGGTCCTCTTTTCTTCAGACAAAGAAACAACAGGCAGGCTTATAAAACTGGCAGATGGCACCAGGCCGGGAGGGGTGGCTAATGGGAGAGATGAGGAATCCAGATTCAAAATGATCTCAGCTGGGTGGGGTGATGGTCCCTAGCCAGACAAGATGGAGTGCAGCAGAGCAGCACTATATACTTAGGGTTAAGGAAATCAATTGCATAATTATAATATTTGGGAGATATGTTTTTTTGTGTGTGTGAAAAAAGACCTTGAGGTTTTGGTTGACCACAAGTTCAATATAAACCTAGAGTTATACGAGGCTACTAAAAAAAAAAAGGTAATGCATTTTAGAGGATCTTAATAGGCATTTAGTGTCTAGATAATGGGAGGTAATAATGCGACTATTCTGCATCAGCCAGACCACATCTTGAATATTGTATCTAATTGTGACCACCACATTTGAGGCAAAGTTATTGACAAACTGGAGTTCATGTGAGGAAGACGATGAGAACAGGGAATGAGAAGACAGGAGAGCAAGATGGCTGTTGTGGAGGAGAGAATAGACTTATTCTCAGGGGTGCTCTGAGGTTCAAATGAGACAATGGATGTAAAGCACCTCACAAACCATAAAATGCTATATAAATGCCAATTGTTGTTATTATTATTATTATTCTCCAGTCACCAGGCTTCCAGTCTTGTGATGACTTCATTCCCTAAGCCTTCTATGGAACTCCTGCTGAGCTCAAGGAAAGTTTATAGAACAGTACAGGGTGAGCTAGTAAATGTTTAGCTACTGGGCTTTCAAGGAAAAAAAAAAAAATATATATATATATATATATGCACATACCTTAAAGTTTAATCTGTATTATGAAGATTTTAAGCCTAGACAGTCAACAGAACAATAAACCTAAATCAAAAGGTTGTAGCCATGACTCCACCCCTGGCTATTCTGAATAGCTTCAGAGAGAAGAACCAAGAGGTAAACAGGTAGAAGTCACTGGCAGGTAGGTTTGGGCTCTGTATACCAAAGTTCTAACAATTAGAAACCTGCCTAAATGGTACAGGCCACCTTACAAGGGACTGAGCTCCTTGTCTCAATCAAATGCTCAATTAGAGCATCAGGGATTTTACCGAGAGGATTTCTACTTTGGTTGGGAGGTTGACCTTTGAGGTCCCCTCCAATCCCATGCTTCTTTTTTTTTTTTTTTTTTTTGGCTAGGCAGTGGGGTTAAGTGACTTGCCCAGGGTCACACAGCTAGTTAAGTGTCAAATGTCTGAGGCCAGATTTGAACTCAGATCCTCCTGACTCCAGGGCCAGTGCTCTATCCACTGTGTCACCTAGCTGCCCCCCAGTCCCCTGATTCTTCACCATGAAGCATGGTGACTGGTGCCTCACTCTTTCATTAAGGATATGGTTTTGAGAGAGGTTTTACAAGGAACAGGTGGAAGAGCTTTCTGAAAGAAGGAACATCCGACATAGTAGGGGATGGAGTTCTTAACTAGATCTTGGAGCTGGAAGGGAAGGGACCTCACGGACTGTCTAATCTGTGAAGCCCAGTCCATCACTGTTTCCATTGGACCATAGCCTGCTGTTCTATTTTTAAAGAAACTGATAGACATTCGTGTGTCTGGACTGCTTAAGGTGAAGCCAGCCAGGATGAAGGTAGGGGATAGATGAGACCACATAGTTAAGAACAGACAAACCAGAGAATCTTGGATTTGGAAAGAACCTCAAAGGTATCTGGTCTAAGCTTTGCCTGATTAAGCACAAATATCTCCAACAAGTATTTATGCAGACTTCATCTGAAAGCCTCTATGGAGGGGGAAGCCCACCACTTCCATTACAGTGTTGAACATGTCTTTGAATCAGTCCTCCTATGGCAGTCCCCTGTGTCTCATCTTTCTCTACATGCACTCCAGCTTGGCGATGCCCTTTCAAAAATATGGCGGCCAAACATAGTGCAACAAAAGCTTGGAGCATTTGCATAAGACCCTCCTCATTGGTAGAGAGAATGCTGACTCAGGGGGCAGAGTGGGCTTGAGAACTTTGGAATCCCTTCATGAGGGCATTCCACCATCATACCTTTTACCAATGAGAAGAGTCTTAGATGGATGCTCCAGGCTCGAGACCTGGGTTACACTTTGTATAATAAAACCTCTAGGTTTTATTAAGGGCACCTTGGGGTGTGTGGGTGGGAAAGGTTGGGGAGGAGGAGAAAGCCCTACTACACTATAGTTTCTAAATCTGTATAATGGGAAAATGCTGCTTTTCACCCACCCACTAAGAATAGTGAAGTTTTACTTACAAAATGATTGAACAAGCTTTGCAAAGGGCCCATTAATCCATTTTACTTTTAAGGCTGACCTCAGGCCTCCAGATATGAGGACAATAAATAAACAAGGAACAGCAGCACGTGTAACATGGCAAATACTTCCAGTGGGGTCTCTGATCTAAATACCCTTTAGTCAAACATTTAAAGTAAGGTTTTGATAGGGAGAAAATGAGATTGATGAAGTAAAGAAAATATCCTTGCAGATTTCATAGTTTTAGAAACCTTGAATTCCATGCCATTTTCCCTCTGAAGCCCTGTAAAGTTTGCGACTGCCATGATATCAGCGGCTGAAGCTTCTTCCCTCCCCCCTCCCATGCTGGGTACAATAACACGGCCGAGGTTCCCAGAATAAATCATTTACATTTCTACCGCTGGAATCAGAATGACGATGCTGATTTTACAGATGGGGAAACTTAAGTCTCAGTGGATTCAGTAATCATTTAGAACACATCCCTGGCTGATTAAGAAAAATATCCTTGTTTTTGCAGCATGCCTCTCGGGCTCTGTCCCTTGTTCCTGTCTCTGGGCAGGTCTGTGCCCTCGCAGCCTAATGAAAGCCAGGCTGCCCGAAGCCAGAGGGGGCAAGAACAGCCAGGTCCTCCAACTTACCGGTGAATGAAGTGGTTTTCTTCCAAGTACTGACAGCCACAGGCAATGTCACGAGCTATGTGCAGCAGGTCCAGCATAGCCAGGGAGGAGGGCTGGTTCTGGAGAGACAGAAGTCATGACATCCCCCCAGTGAAAAGCAGATCATGCGTGCTTAACCAGGGAGAACAAGAGTTATCATCACAACTCACATGCAGGAAAGAGAGGCTTGTATTTATAGTCAGAGGCCCTGTGCTGAAATCCCAGTCCTGACGTGTACTGTGTAACCCTAGGTAAGCTTAACCTCTCTGGGCCTTCAGTCCCTCAACTATAAAATGAAGGAGGAGCAGGTGGGCTGCCTATTAGTTATTTTTTGCCACTGCCATATAATTAGTTCACCTCCTTTTCTGGTTCTGCATCTCTCTAATGGCATCCTTTGCCTCATATGTATGTAATATGAATAAATAATGATAATATTTTGTTGTTTTTTTTTGCTAGGCAATGGGGTTAAGTGACTTGCCCAGGGTCACACAGCTAGTAAGTGTTATGTGTCTGAGGCTGGATTTGAACTCAGGTCCTCCTGACTCCAGGGCCAGTGCTCTATCCACTGCACCACCTAGCTGCCCCATGATAATATTTTAAATCTATGATCCTATGCTGTGCAGAGTATTTTCTCATTTGTTCCTCCCAATAATGCTGTGAGGTAGATATTATTATACAACTTGTACAGATGAATAACCTGAGGATAAGAGATTAAGTTAAGTGACTTGCCTAGGGTCATACCACCCGTAAGAGTCAGAACTGGGATTTTTAACCTTGGTTTTCCTGACTCCACATCTATATTCTACTCGGCTTCTATAAGCGTGAAAATCTTAGACACAGTAATTGACTGAGTTGAGGATACATTTATTGCTGCTGAGATCCCTGAGTAGGTCTACTAGAGTCCCACGCTGAAGAAGCTGTTGCATATTACATCTGAAGGGCCACAGTGAGCCTCCCATCTGCTTTCCCAGACTCGAGTCTCTCCCCATTCCAAATGGACTTTCATTATCTCACTCCCTTGTTCCCTCCAGTTCACATAATTAGAACTGACATAGCCCTTTAAAGGTTATAAAACTCTTTATGTACATTATCTTATTTGAGCCTGGCATCAGCCCTTTTGAGATACATCTTATCTTATCATCCTCTTTTTACAGATAAGGAAACTGAGGCTTAGAGAGGTGACAGTGACTTGCCCATCATCACAACAACCAATAAGCACCAGAAGGTGGGATTCAGACGCAGGTCTCTAGGTCTGACACTTTACACTATACTCGCTGTCTCCTGTTGATTAAATACCTATCTATGAAGTGAAAGGGGTTGGGCCAGCTGGAGATACAAAGATGAGTAACCTGGGACAGAGGTTGTGATCCAGATGTACACAAATAACTCACATAAAACTGAATAGGGCAGCTATACGGCACAATGCATAGAGTGCTGGACCTGGAATCAGGAAAACCTGAGTTCAAATTCTGCCTCAAGACACATAGCTGTGTGACCCTGGGCAAGTCACTTAACCCTGTTTGCCTCGGTTTCCTCATCTGTCAAATGAGTTGGAGAAGGAAATGGCAGACCACTCCAGTATCTGCCAAGAAAGCCCCAAATGGGGTCACGAAGAGTCAGACACAACTGAAAAACAACAACAATAACAACAAGGATAAAAGCACAGCGTAATGAAGATGAGGCTGCCTCATTTTATCCTCATTACAAGAAGATAAAAGTGCTGCAAGAGATCTGAAGAGACATCCCTTCCAAAAAAGCTTCATGGACATAGAAGTGGAATTAGGCCTTAAAAAACATGGAGGATTTTGCAAGGTGGAGATGGGGGGGTGTGTGTGCCATGTAACATGTGCACCATTGGGCAATCTTTTCTGCTAGTGGATAAATAAGCTTAGTCCAGCTTAGTCCATGGATTAGATGTGGCTCTTGATTCTGGAAGATTCAGGCATCTTCAGGACATGCCAGGACAGCTCAGATGATCATTTTGTTATACTCTGTGTCCTGGCTGCAGAGCCACACCAGGGGGCTCATTATGAACCACACACAGATGCCCTGGGGAACGCAGATGCACATGGGGTCCTGACTGTGTTCCTCAGAGGTTTGTCAGCCAGGGCTATACAAAGGGAGGCGGGAGGAAAGCCTGGACCACCACGGCTGGCCTGTTACAAGCTTCCCAAGGCCTTGCCTTTACTCCTGCACTCTCCTATGCACCACTCCACGAACCTCAGAAAAGATGGGCAGGTTTGACAGTTGTACCCCAGCATTGCAGGCAATGTGAACTTCATCTAAACATCTTGTTTTCTCTGAACCAGGTGTGATTAAACCCTCAACAGCTCATGCCCTGTGTGCAACCTCCGCCATGTTCCTTGATCAAAGAATCTCAGAGTTGGAAGCGTCCTCAGAGATCATTTAGTGCATTTAACACCTTGACAAGAATTTCCTGTGTGGCACCCAACAAATATTCATATCTCTGCTTGAAGACCTTTACTGAGAGGGAACCCACCGCCTCCCAAGGCAGCCCATTCCTAACGCCAGTTTCCTCTACCATCAGGTTTAAATTTGTGTTTGCAACTCTATATCAGCCACAAATTCGGTAAGCACACACAGTTGTTAATTCCATGGGGCTGCCATTCCTGGGCCAAACATCCCACTGAGAATTTCCTTCCAAGTTGACTTAGAACCCGTTTGGGTCCAGCCATCAACAAGTTCTGGATCTACCTAAATGATATGTTACCTGTCTCATGTCTATCTTTTCCACAAGAGTAGCATGAATGAGTCAATAAGTCAATCGACAAACATTTATTAAGTAACTAAAATGTGCCAAGCGTTATGCTAAGTGCTGGGTCAAATGCTGTGCTAAAATCTAGGTAAATATTTATAGCATTTGGGGCACTTAGGTGGCACAGTGTATAGAGTATGGGGCATGGAGTCAGGATGACCTGAGTTCCAATCTGGCCTCAGACATTTACTAGCTGTGTGACACTGGGCAAGTCCCTTAACCCTGTTTGCCTCGGTTTCCTCATCTGTCAAGTGAGCTGGAAAAGGGAATAGCAAACCATATCTCCACCAAGGAAACTCCAAATGGGGGCACGAAGAGTCGGACATGACTGAAACAACTGAACAACAACGTCTATAGTGCTCTGATTTAGGAGTGAGTCTAGGAAACCTATCAAAAAAGGATATGGGGCTAATCTTGTATGACTTGTTGCTAACAGGGAGGGGGTGGCATTAATATGAATGCCTGGAAGGAAACTGCTGCATGTAATCTTTTGAAATGTCTGTTCTTTCTATTCAGAAGTATTTCAAAATGTTCAGGGGAAAAAAAGTTTAACTTCAGTAATTCTCAGGCTTGAAACAAAATGGGGCAGGGGGAGGATGAGGGACGTTTCTGAGTTTTGGTTATTGTTCAGTTGTTTCAGTCGTGTCCAACTTTTCGTGACCCTATTTGGGGTTTTCTTGGCAGAGATACTGGAGTGGTTTGCCATTGCCCTCCCCAGCTCATTTCATATATGCGGAAACTGAGGCAAACAGGGTTAAGTGACTTGTTCAGGGTCACACAGCTAGAAAGTGTCCAAGGCCAGATTTGAACTCAGAAAGATGAGTTGTCCTGATTCCCATCCCAGTGCTCTATCCACTGAGCCACCTAGCTGCCCCTGGGTTTTGGTAGGTTACCTAAAAGATAACCTTGAGCTATTCAAAATCATTCTTAGACAAAAATTGACCACATCCTACCTTATTTCCTTCTCCTAACAGAACTCTTAGCCTTGTCACCTAAGCAGTGCAGTATTCATTCCCATCTTTAGACTCTTGTTCAGCCTATTCTCCTTGCCCCAAATGCCCTCTTCCTTTCTCTCAGCCTATCTGAATCATTACTCATGGGTATGAGTAAGTTCTGACGATGAATATTCCATTCCTAGTGTGCACAGAACACTGTGCAGATCGTCAGAGCAGAGACGGGGAGTTAGGATGAGTTAGGATGGTGAGCTGCCTGAGTGGCACAGCTAGGATTTGAACCAGGTTCTCTCTCTAAATCTAACATTCGTTCCAATGCTATGAGTTTTCCATCCTATGAAATACTTTTTCCATATTTTTCCATGCTGTAAGTTCATCTGAACCTGAAATGGAGTTTGGGTTACTGAAGATTTGTTGGGCCCCATGCTAAGAAAGTGATGGAGAAAATGTCAAGGATGCAGATTAAATGTCAAAGTATGTCCTATATACATTTCACCTCCCAGAGCCTGTTGTTAAACGTTTACCAGTAGGTAAGTTTAAAAAGAGTGCAGCAGGGCTGACCAGTTTGGTAGGTTACTGAATCAACTTGAGATTCCAGGGCATGGACCTTGGTTGGAAGGCATATTTCCCATTGAACTAGACCTGTTCCCTAGCCAGCCCCTCTCAGAGAATCTTTGGATACAAGTGCTTCTTTGGGAGGACACAATGAACTCCTCTGATTGGCCCTCAGTGACAGGGATGCCTCCTGATGATTGGTTGACTGAAAAGGATGGATCGTTAGAAGACCCTTCCCTCGTTCTACAAGACTGATCTGTGAAACAACTCTATCCTTCTCCCTCTTTCCCTTTGATTTCAAAACGAGAGTGCAGCAAGGTGGGTGAGGAGGGGGAGGGAAGGAGAAAAGAAGGGCACTGCTTTCCTTTTAACCCCTTGGCTGCCCGCCTCAGCCTCACTTAACACTCAGGAGATAGCTCCAGTCCGTAGGAACCAGTCAACAAAGAGCTCACTGAGCCCTCCTGGCAAGGTACCAGGGTGCAGGCCAGATCAATGGGAGGCTCCCCTTTTTTGGACAAAGGCCACAGCTCTGTATTCTCACCAAGTTGATTGCAGGACCTGCCACCATACTGATTAGGGGCTGAAGTCTAATATTGATGAGAAGTGGGGGGGGGGGGGGGGGGGGGAGGCGGGGGGGGGGGGGGGGGGGAGAAAGATAGGGGGGGAAAGACACAAGTGTAGAGTGGAAAGGAGAGAGAAGGGAGTAGGGAAGAGGGAGAGAGGGGGTAAAGTGGGGAGAGAGAAGGGGGGGAAAAGATGGGGAGGGAGATGGAGTAGGGGGAGGGAGGGAGGGAGA